ATTAAAAAGGCATGAACATTTTTTTTGTATCGAAAAAATATCGAACCGTGACACCAAAGTATCAAACCGAACCGAACCGTGAATTTTGTGTATCGTTGCACCCCTAATGTTTATATATAAATATATGCGGTGGCCCCTAGAGACAAAACATGTACAAACTCCAAAACACATTTCTAGCGTTAACTGAACTTCAAAACAGAGCTACTAGATCACTTAAATGACATAATTGAAAGCATGTGTGTATTGTTTGTGTATTTATACACAAGCACTCATATATATTCAAATAATTTAAAAAAAAAAATTCATTCACCTGTTATTACCACACACCAAATCCGGTCGTTGGTACTTGCTGGCTTGTGTAGCCACTAGGTAACAAAAGCTCAACACTGTGCCCAGCATCCTGGAGCACTTCTGTTTTCTTCTGTTGTCTTTTGTACATGTTTTGAGTTTTTACGTGTTTTGGAGTTCGTACGTGCTTTGTCTCTAGGGGCCACCATAAATATACTTTTATTTATTCACTCCACATAAAATGTAATAAATAAATCATATAATACAAAAACCAGCTATTCAGATTTCAACTTTTAACTATTTAAATTTTCAGCTTTTTCCTTTTAAACAAATTTAAAGTGAAACAACATAAAACACTGCAAACCACAACACAATTAAATATAAATTATAAAATGAAAACAAAAAGAACATGCATATTCTCTGTCATATGGGCCTGCCTGACTGACTTTCTGAATCCTTTATCATCTGCAACTGAAAATAGTTGTGGATGATCACTATACCTTTCTAATGTGACGTTGTTCTCCCTGGCTCTCTTTCTCTCTCCCTCCCGCTCTGTTCCTGTGCTACAGCGCAAAGCACAAAGCTCGCGTGCTGAGTGAAGAGGCTATGGTTTAACAAATCACCAAATCTGGTACAATTTTCTCTATATGAACATAAAGTGTCAACCGGATTTCACCAAAGCCATCAGGAAAAGAAATCTAATTTAATGGTGATTTATCTGGATGTTGTCATCCCTTAAGACCTTTTGGAAACCTGGCAGATAATCAAAACACCAGGTTGGTTTTTTTTTACCATTTATCTGTGGGGTATATCTTTAAAGGTATTTTCTTGATCTTACAGACATCAACAGTATTTCCAAAGTAACAAAATAATTGTCTGGGGAACAACCCGTTCTCTTATTCACTGAGTGTTTGTGTGGATCTTTGCACCCCTTTTTTCTTTTAAACCAAACATTTCCAGATGCAGATGACCCACAGCTGGATTATCCTACAGGTTGTCTGTTACTTGCTACTTGACCAAATCACAGAATGGCATGCATTAAGTTCTTAAATGGTGTTCAGTCTCCACTAATCCTTGAGAAAAATGTCTCATCCAAATGGCTAGATGTTCTTTCCTCACAAGCTAGTCGCTATCTTTATTTTTCTGTTAATTGGTGCTTGGCAGATGGTGTACAGTGGATTTAGCAGAGCGTGTTCGCTGAAAACAGCAACCTGCTGCTGGAAACAGGGGTGCCAAGACAGCCATAAAACCAAAACAATAAGCAAAAGCTCTGTGGAGTTGCAGAATACATAATGTGGTGTCAACATAGAAAGTAACGACAGGTTTAACTATCAAACAGAAAAAAAACACATTTTAGTTGATGCTGATGCCATTTTAATAACCAATACCTCCTATTTTCCAATGGAGAATTTGTGAATATGATGCTTTTCCTCATCTCCCTGATTTCTATTTATTACTGTTGCCTGGCCCTCTAGAGCAGACGAACAAAATGCACAGAAAACCCTCACAGAACAGGACAAGAGAGCCACACAAGTACACAGAAAGAACATCAGAACAGCAGGCCAGAAGATATCAGCTTTGACACACTGACAGAAGCCTGAAGATGTTTGACAGGTGAGCACAGGCAACCTGCGGTGGCTGCAGGAAGAAGGGATAAGGAAGGAGGAAGATGCGATTCTACCTTATAGGCGACTCGGGGCGGACATTTCTTTCCCAAACCTAGTGGAGGGGATATGTCCCGAAGCATCTCGTACATATCCCGGTAAGCTATGCGGCCACTTGTCAGGGAAAGGTTGGTAGGAGACCATGGAAGGAAGGATGAAGTTTCCCCAGGTGAGGAGGTGGAGTGGTAAAAGAAGAATGGGAAGTTATAACAGAAAGTGGCCAAACCAAAAAAAAAAAAAAAAGAGAAGGGAGAGGAAACACAGAAATCCTTGTTAATAAGATTTCCAGGATATGATGACCAGGAATGCCATCCTAGTTGAATTTACAGATTCAGGAATGGATTCCAGAGAAGGAAGGAGGGGAGGATGATCCAGAGGATTGCCTGTACAAAGATGAAAGGTTCCCAGTGGAAGGTATGCTTTAACAAATCTGAGTACATTTTTCTTTAAAGGAATACTCCTTGAAAAAACAATCTGTTTCAAGTAAATATTACTGCCTGTAACAAATTTTTAAAAGGCGAATGTAGAAAGTTTGAAGGCTACTTTACAAAAGCTGCAATGACATTATATTATATTATTTAAATAAATGCAGAAGTACATGAAGACATTTATAAGAATAGTTTGGTGTACTTCCTTTCTTCTTTTCCATAATTCTGGGTAAATGTAATATATTACCTATAAATCATAATCTGAAGCGGCCATTACCAGCGGTACAAACAGTTGACAGGGTGTATTTCTGCAGTAGCCAGGGCGCACGTGAAGAGATTTACTAAACTAGTCTTAAAAAATAAACAAGTGTAGTGGAAGAGTTAAGATGTTCTCATACCTAGAGCTGGATTACTCCAGTCTGACTCAGTTGACCCAGCTACTCTGCTGTATCACATGATACATACATTTATGGTTATGTAGCTACAGCGTTTAGCTCAAACCTGTAGCATACACCTGGTAGTTGAGTCAGATCGAGGTCAGGCCACGTTCTCACCATAACAGAACGTCTCTAGAGTGCATTTGGGAGGGGACAATCCAAGGGTTTTAGTGTTTCTATGGTTTTGATCTGCCTGAGCACAACTATTGTGTTCATGTGTGCACAAATCAACTGAATAGCACCAACTATGAAGATACCAAAGAGTAATGGATAAGCAGCTGTTATGGACTACCAAAATAAATGCATAAATTATTTAAACAGATTTTAAAAAATGATCAAAAAGTAATTAAAAACATTTTCACTAAAAACATTGCCAGCAGTTGCTATTGGTAGCTAAAAGTATGTAAACTGAAAATAAAACATCTTAGCTAAATAATCTTTTACAGATAAAAAAGATTAATTGTTAGATGAGACATGTATAAGATAAACATAAGGTTAAAATAGCTAAATAAGGTTATTAATGAAAAATTGGACATGATTACCTAAAACTATGGATAGAAACTATAGAGATGGAAATTGTTTGCAAATGAGAGAAATGAAACATTACGTTAAATATATGAATTTAAATAAATAATTGTCACCTAAGCAGAACAGATGGCTCTACCTATTAACAGATAATTGCTAGATAGCACTAATAGCAATTAATAGCAATAGCTAGCTAGAATAATTGGCTAAATTTATAGTTAACAGTTCAAATTTATTAGCAAGTTGTTAGATAAAGTCTGACAGTTTTTCGTGAGCTTAATGTCATTTATGCAGCCAAGAGTAAATGGGTACTAGAACATTTCAAAATTGATTTTAAATTTGAAATCAACAGTTTTGATGACGTCCAGGGCTCCTTAGGTGCCATGAAACTTAACATCTATGAATGTGTCTGATCTAAAACTTTAAATTTTTCAGTTTCACCTCTTAAGTTGGTGCTTATGAATCAAAAACGAGATGTTCAGTGGAGTATTCCTTTAACATGCACTCTTTTTCTGCATGCTAAGAGACAACAGCAGTAACCAAAGTGGAAACAAAGCACACAATGCTCTCGTCGTCACTCTTCTTTCACTCCTGTGTTTAGAAGCAGGAAAATATCTTAGACATGGCATCTGATGCCTTCCGTTTGAGGCTGACATGCTGCGTTGTTTCCTGCACTCGCCATGGTTACCTGCCGGCTGGTTAGTGGAGGATCGATGAGCATTTGTATGCATGTGTGTTCAGGTCATTCTCTGGCACCCCAGTGAATGAGAAGAGACACTGACAGTCTGAAACCATCACAGTCCCTTAAAAAACAAAAGGACTGTGGGGGAGGGCAAACCTTATAAGCCACCCTGCTGGGGCACTTCTTCCCCAGGCCCAGAGGAGGCGAGATAAAATGCAACAATTTGTACATATCCCGATAGCATATTCTCCCGCTGAAAGAGATGAGACATATTCGAGAGGTTAGATTAAAGGTTATTCCATTTTATCTATTCATATTGATCTATTATCAGTCAGTGGACATTAACGAATAACTGTCAAGAAGAGGCAGTTAGAAGAAAAACAAATACAGCACAGGATCTTCATTGTTCAGTTTGTTTTACACTTCTCTTTTTTATACATCAGTGGATTTTTTTTTTGGGGGGGGGGGAGAATTAAAAATGTGCAATGTGGCATAAATTCTGTAAGCTGCTGGTGCTACAAATTTGTCAGTACAACTATATACACTTATTGGCTGCTTATTAGTTATGATATTCTGTTGTCCAATTTTGGTGAGCCTGTGTGAACTGATAACTGACAGAAGTGGCATCCAGTGTGGTCTACTGCTGCTGTAGCCCATCTCTTCAAGGTTCTCCTGTGTTCCCAACAGGGAAGATCTTCTGCATAACATATATTCTTCATACTGGTTGTGACAAGTGGTTATCTGAGTTACTGTTGCTTTTCTATCAGTTTGACCCAATCTAACTATTCTCTCTGAGCTCTGGCGTCAACAAGCTGTTTTCACCCAGACAACTGCCACTCACTGGATGTTCTCCCTTTCTCAGACCGCTCTCTGCAAAACCTAGAGATGGTTGAGAGAGAAAATTCCAGGAGATCAACAGTTTCTGAAATACCAGCATTTTTAGCACCAACAACAATGTTCAAATTGACTTATACAGTGGGATGCAAAAGTTTAGGCAACCTTGTTAATAGTCATTATTTTCCTGTATAAATCGTTGGTTGTTACAATACAAAAATATCAGTTAAATATATCATATAGGAGACACACACAGTGATATTTAAGAGGTGAAATGAAGTTTATTGGATTTACAGAAAGTGTGCAATAATTGGTTAAACAAAATCAGGCAGGTGCATAAATTTGGGCACTGTTGTCATTTTATTGATTCCAAAACCTTTAGAACTAATTATTGGAACTCAAATCGGCTTGGTAAGCTCAGTGACCCCTGACCTACATACACAGGTGAATCCAATAATGAGAAAGAGTATTTAAGGGGGTCAATTGTAAGTTTCTCTCCTCTTTTAATTTTCTCTGAAGAGTAGCAACATGGGGTCTCAAAACAACTCTCAAATGACCTGAAGACAAAGATTGTTCACCATCATGGTTTAGGGGAAGGAAAGAAAGCTGTCTCAGAGATTTGGACAAGCCAGCTTCATTCTGGAATAAGGTGCTGTGGACTGATGAAACTAAAATTGAGTTATTTGGGCATACCAAGGGGCGTTATGCATGGAGGAAAACGAACACAGCATTCCAAGAAAAACACCTGCTACCTACAGTAAAATATGGTGGTGGTTCCATGATGCTGTGGGGCTGTGTGGCCAGTGCAGGAACTGGGAATCTTTTCAAAGTTGAGGGACACATGGATTCCACTCAGTATCAGCAGATTCTGGAGACCAATGTCCAGGAATCAGTGACAAAGCTGAAGCTGCGCCGGGGCTGGATCTTTCAACAAGACAACGACCTGAAACACTGCTCAAAATCCACTAAGGCATTCATGCAGAGGAACAAGTACAATGTTCTGGAATCTCAGTCCCCAGACCTGAATATTATTGAAAATCTTTGGTGTGAGTTAAAGAGAGCTGTCCATGCTCAGAAGCCACCAAACCTGAATGAACTAGAGATGTTTTGTAAAGAGGAATGGTCCAAAATGCCTTCAACCACAATCCAGACTCTCATTGGAACCTACAGGAAGCGTTTAGAGGCTGTAATTTCTGCAAAAGGCAGATCTACTAAATATTGATTTCATTTCTGTTTTTGTGGTGCCCAAATTTATGCACCTGCCTGATTTTGTTTAACCAAGTATTGCACACTTTCTGTAAAGCCAATAAACTTCATTTCACTTCTTAAAAATCACTGTGTGTGTCTCCTGTATGATATATTTAACTGACATTTTTTATTGTAACAACCAACGATTTATACAGGAAAATAATGACTATTAACAAGGTTGCCCAAACTTTTGCATCCCACTGTATCACTTCTCCTCCCGATTCTGATGTTCAGTTTTAATTTCAGGAATTCAGTGAGTATAGATTTTTGTTTTTGTTCAAAAAGTAGTTGAATTGTGTTTTGATAGTGACATGTTTCATTAAAGATGATCATAGTTTTTCAATAGAAATCAAAAGCCTGATTTTAAATTTCCCCCACAAGCTGGACTCTGGACTTCCAACTTGGTTTCACTGTGGAGGGATACAGAATATCGTAACCGGTGGTGAGAGGTGGATCTCACCAATTTTGATAAAAGCTGAAAACAATAAGCCTTAAATGTACTGACATAAAGAGAAGTTGTAGCAGTGGAGAATAAGCTGAATGTTACTGTAGGCACTTCTGAGAGCAGCTCATTTATATTCAAAGGAATAAATAATATTTCCTCCCCCGTAATGTCTGTCAGGTGATGATAATTTCATATTTCTCATCTCTCCTGGAGTCCCGACTCACTGACAAGGCTCCTGTGAAGCTTTCGTTAAAACTTAATTTAAGGAGCCTTTCATAATCTGAGACAGATTACTGTCTCACTCAAAACTTTTATAGTGTTTTATTAAAGGTAAACTGCTTCTGGTTGGTGTAAAGAGCAGCGAGGGTCGTGGCATGAACCTGTATTCCCCAACTGGATAGCTAGAAATAGTCTCTCTTCACACCACAGTGAGAGACTGAGTCGCTTTGGAGCTTATCAGCGAGGAGAGCTGAGTGGACGCCGAGTGGAACTCTGGATTTGCATGCATCAGTCCAACCAAAAGAGGGGATTGTCACCAGCTTCAGCCCAAACTCTGGGCTCAAGCTCAGAGTTATCCAGCTGGGACACAGAAGTCAATCTGAGACTGTTCTGCTTCCTAACTTGGCTTCCTTTCAAATGAAAACCACCTTTACCACTTCCTAACACTGGGGAGTAAAATGTAGCAAAGTCAGAAAAGGCTCCTACCAAGCAGCAGGGTCATACTCTGCCCACACACGTATGAATTCATCAAGGTGATGAGGCCCCAGGATGGAGGCGTCCCTGGTAAGGTACTCAAAATTGTCCATGATGACCGCAACAAAGAGGTTCAACATCTGGTAAATGACATCACAGTAAAGTGAAATAAATTGCATACATGTTGATTAATAGGAACATTGGTATTAATTTAAGCTATTACCTAAACTTTATTTTTTTTTAAACTGCACAGTACTGTGGTGATTATATAGCCTATGCATTCTTCTTTAAAGGGATGCTTTACACATTCATTAAAAAACACATATTTATATTACTAGATAACATTTTGTTATGCATGCATTTAATTTTATCCATTCTCTGTATAAATTGGAGAGTTCAAAATTAGCTTTGCTACCAACTTTATTGCCTCATATTGGCAACACTACTGGGCTATTAAAGGCAATAATCAGGTCTTATAAAAAATGTTCTATGAATGTATTTGTCTGTGTCACTGAATTAGATTTATGAAAAGAGCATAAAAAGCAGTTAAACAGACTGTTGTCTACAGGGGTTTGTCTCCTCAGCAGCACCTCATTTACATTTAATTCCTATTGTTCTCTTTAACTCGCTGTTACTTGCAGCATTCTTCTGAGACTTTCAGAATAAGAACATTAAACGTCTGGAAAACGTATGTCGATGAAAACACGCAGTAGGACGAGGTATTTACCAGAAAGGAGCAGAGGAAGATGAAGGAGACAAAGTAGAAATAGGCAAAGTCACTGCCACACTCGTCTCCTGCAGTTCCCGAGAGCTTATCGCACGGCCGGTTACTGAGGCATGCTAGCATGATCTCATGCCACGCCTCGCCTGTTGCGCTCCTGAAAGATGCACAAGTAAAGATACAGGAGTGAAAAGTGAATGTGAGTGCTTGAGTTAGTTTGACCCAAAATCATTGGATTATCTGAGCTGCCAGAACTATTAGAGCATGGAAGCAGGGTTACCTGAAGAGAAGGGTCAAGGCCTGGAAAAAGGTCTGGAAGTTGTTGTGGTGGTTTATGGCGTTCTCCTCATTCAGCTCAATGTTACCAAACACCTGCAGCAACAAAGGAGGTGTTATAGATTATGTGAACTGTTTTTAACCCAATAATTTAAATTATAAGAAACCCCTGTAGTACAAACCAAGGTCGTTGAAAAGCATTTTTTCTCAGTCTTACTCTGGTCCTTTATAAAAACCTGTGTTATAATATTAGCTGTAAGAAATATACTTGGTAAGAGATTTATGAATTATAACCCAAAGTCAAATAAACACATGAGGCTTCGGCTGATTTCACAGCAGAAGGCTCAGCTGGATGGAGATTTTACATTTCCCGCCCTACACTGAGTTGCTGTGTTCAGACCTGTGACATTGCTATGTAAGACTTACATGTAAAACTATGTCCCTCTCTTTTCCGTATATATAATGCATTATTTATATTAAATGCCCCAGTTGTTGTCACATTGTAGAAATGTTGAAAATGTGTTTCACATTAAATTATAATCTGCCAATAAACAGTATACTTATAATTCCCAGTGTGGACCTTTCTGTCTTTGTTAAGTTTCTTCACTGAATATAATAGGTACTAATGGATGCCATAAACAGTGGTTTATGGATGTAATTTGAATATGAAATATAATTATATTGTGGCCTTGTACAAACTGCTTTTGTAAGCCAATAAAGCTAGAGCTAATTTTCCTTCTTTGTGTATATGCGTTATCTGTCATTAACTGTGTAATGTTGCGTGCATTGCAACTACTTATTGCATACATTGTGCAGATACAGGCTTATAATTTATCTCAAGCATTACTCGTTTATGCTATGTCAGCATAGTTTAATGCAAATGTCGTTCCAGGAAACCATTTCTGATCTGAACTGGAACTGAATGGCAGACACAAAGAGAGTAGATAGCTGTCATAACTCATGGTTATCCTGGTGTCAGTCCAATAAAACATCCCAGAGGCCTTTTTTAAATATTTATTTGCCTCTTGGCAAGTCCATCCTGCTGACCTATAAACACCAGCTGCTACACCCAGGAGACCCGTGATAGCAGTCACCTATGCAGGTAGCATCTTGTCCATCCAATTTTTCAGGAAAAACATATTGGAATCCTTTATATCAGCTGCCTCAAAAATAAAGAATAATCCACTCTGAAAACACATTTAGTCTGTGCTTAAGTTTATAATGTAATATCTTTACCAGGACTGTATCAAACGTGTAGAAAACAGTCATATAGCAATGCCAGACACATTTTTCTTGTGGTTGCTGTACATGACAAAATGCATTAAATTTAAAGAACACAGGAAACATCTGGGAAGGTAGCATTTATCCAGCACAGAAGTTCTGTTAGTCTGCAGTCAACAACGACTATTAATCAATTATATTCAAGCTGCAGCGTCAGTGGCTGAAAAATGAAGTGTCACGCTGAAGTGTTACAAACTGCAGTTCCTTGATGTTCCTTGTGACTGACTTCCACATGCAAGTATTTCAAATCGTCAAACTTTAGAGCAGAAATAAAGAAGCAAAAACTCTGCGTAGTTCCAAACATCTGTCTAGCAGAGATTCATCTGTTCTCTCATGCTAACAGGTTATCTCAGCCCTGCGCTGTCATAACACTTACTGTAGCACACACGACATCACTTCATTGCACTGCACTGTTTGCCACACTGTTACACTGAGCCATTTGAATGTCAGCTGGTATTTGCTTTGAACTTTTTGGAACATTTAGGAAGTAAGTTTTTTTATTGTTTCTTCTGCTTCGTTGACTTAGAAATATTCAATTGTTTTATTTTCAGTTAAGAGTCGTTTTAATCTCATCACCTGCATCCACGAGGTTTTTAATAGTGGTTTGAAGCATCAAAAGTGGTCACGTGTCATTCTGTCTGTAAACACGATACCGCGTGTGAAGTTTTGGATGAATTCAGATCAAACTTTGTAGAAGTGTAGAGTGGGGTTAATGACTTACTTGAATGATTTACTGATTGATGATTTATTGGTTAAAAATGGACAAAAAGCTCTTACAAAGTTCTTACAAGCGCGGTGTGTAAAGATTTAAAATATCATGTAACATTTGACCTCTGACCCCTGCTTAGATCAGTCAATAGACTGATCTAAACATCAAAATGATAATAATTCTATATAGAGCTATTTAAAACTGTGTTTCTTACTGACAGTGTTTTTATAGGGAAATTATAAAAATCACATTCCTATACTATGGCGTCACTGTTTAAATACATAACAATTTCAATGTTTAATGTATAATGTTAAAATAACTAAAAATAAATAAATCAACAGAAAAAAAAACTATGATAAAAAATTTTTTCCCCTTTATATTTTTTTATTAAACATTTCAGTGAATTTTAGTAAACAAGGAGATTTACTATATGTCAGGTAGATTAAAATGGCTTTCAACGGAGTAAATAAGAAAAACCTGGAATTTGTACTTTTCTTTTTTTTTATTGCACTAGAAACTTCTGACAGCAAGTTTAAAAGCAGCGAACTAAGCAAAATTAATATCTATAAAATACAAGACTTTTCCCTTGAAAGTAAATACTGCTCAGCGAGTGAGCTCTCTTTTTGGAGGTTTGAGCTTTTGGAGTTTTTCATGTTAAAATAATTATACATTTGGTTTTATCAAGCTGCAATGTACTTATTTTAGGTGTTTATCATATGTTTGGTGTGTTTTTAACTGCTGTGACAAAAGGATTTTCCCACTGTGAGATAAACTATTTCTGAAAATTACTTCCTGTGCAGTTAATTACACCAAAAGCCAGTCTAGGAAGTTTGTGGACCTGTTTTAGTGGAGGAAATGCTTTAAATTTGTATTTCACTTATCATTAATTAGATGGTATCTGATTCCCCAATATAGTCTATGAGTGCTAACCAGGCTTGCTGACTGATAAATTCACGCTGGTCTAAATGTAGTCAACTGTGGCTTCAAAAACCAAGATGGCAATGACCATAAAACAAAATGAATCCACTAACCAACGGGTAAATTCCTGGTAGCTACTATACATCCATCTTTTATACAGAGCATTTGGTTAAAATTATGCCAATCACTATACTGGACATCAAATTAAGAGAAATGGTGAAATGCCAGTTAAACACAAGCTAATGTGTAGTCACACCTCCTCAGGTCATTCACTGATAGGCTACTGGGAAATCTTCACGTTGCAGAAGGCATATTTCATCGAATCATGAAATTCAGATGTGCTTTATGCACATGATGACTTACCTGCATTCCTATGATGGCGTAGATAAAGAACAGCATGGCAATGAGTAGGCAGACATATGGCAGGGCCTGAAAGCATACACATGAATACAGTCTGAACACACTCATATACTGCATGGCACCAACAATATCCATTTTATACACACCCAGACACACATGGGGCACAGCGCCTCTTTGATCTCTTCCTCTGTGTTTGTATGCACGTACACACTCATAAATCGGATTCTCTACAGAGCAACAAGCACCCTTCTAACATTTTACAGTATTTATTTAAGAACCCGAGCAACGAACCTGACCTGCTGGGTTGATTCTTTTCAACCAACTATTTATATGGCTGCAAGAAGGCGGCGAACATTTGTTGTAATTAAATAGCCACCTTTTAACACTCTGAAGCTACTGTCCATTTTCATTGGGCTTAAAAGCTCTCACCACTGACATTAAAGCTGCTATAAATTCCCTGTGCTGTGGCCCCAGCGCTCCACATTTAACTCAACTTGTCCCAGGGGATTTAGAGAACAAAACTGGCACGGTGTGAAAATCTAAACTGCTGTCTGCTGAGAGCTATTTTGTTCAATTTGAACAGGAAAAAGCATGCCTAGGCCTGTTTTTTGAGCCCTTTATTCCACTAGTTGTATTGTATGAGATGTACTTTCATGCAAGAGCAAATAAATCTGGCTCAGATTGCCAGCCCGTGTGTCTTTCCAAATTTACAGTTTCTTTCTGCAAGTTTACACAGATGCTTCAGACTCTAACTCAGATGTTTATAATGTTTCTATGTTACTCCGTTTTTTCCTTACCTTGAACGACTGAACGAATGTCCACAGCAGGATGCGAATAGTGTAGCCTTGTCGCAGAAGCTTGATGAGACGAGCTGCTCTGAACAGCCTCAGGAAACTCAGGTTGATTTTTTCTTTCTGGGAAAGAAAAACAAATGATCTGTTATTATGTAACAGATTTGAGGATATTTTTATTAACAATTTATTAAGCTGGTAGCATACTGCAGTACATTTTTGTAGACGATTTCAGGTTTTTTTGTTTTGTTTTTGCTAGAGGGAAAAAATGCGTACTGAGATTTACAGTAAAACTCTATTTTAATGTTCTCCAAACTAACCATGTACAAGTTGATCTAATAGCAGAAAGAGTAAATAAATAAATAACAATTAGCATCAATAACCTGAAAAATCAGTTACAAGGACTAAAAATGCGTGACAGAGTAGCCAAAGTCAAAAGAAGAACTGTGAGAGAACTCCAGAAAGGTTGCAAAACTATTGCTCAAAGCCACTTTTAAAACTGACAAGAATGTTTGTCTCCCTGGAAGCAGAATACAAAGAAATGAGGGGTTGCCAAAGACTTTTAACCACTACTCTCTTAGACATCCATCCTATGATCTTTTAGGATAGGTTTCAGTCCTCCTGCAACCCTGAACTGATTAAGCAAGTAAAAAAATGGATACTTGGATGGATCAGTGGGATGATACACTGATAAATCTGATATAACCTAGAAGCAATACAGACAAACTAATATTAACAAGGTTATTATAATAAACTAAAACTGAAATTAAAACTAACTGAAACTAAACTGAATTAAAAACAAACTGTCAAAATAAAATAAAAATAAAAAATAATTAGAAAGTACAAAACTATATTAGCTCTAATCCTAATTGATCCTTTCGTAGCTCAGAACTGATCCAGCTGAATGAAATGACATTAGCTGAACACAGCATACACAAGGCAGGCCAAGAAGTATAGCTCAACCCAAATCCAAGCACATCAACTGATTTTGGTTAAAGCCAAAGCAAATGTACGCTATTTAAGTTACTGCCTACAGTAGCTGCACATCTGAAAACCGCTTTGCAACCCACCTCCACCTTCGCACCTCCTTTTCACACTGAATCAGTGTCAAGTCTGTTGCCACTGTTTTGTACAGGGAGCTTTGCTGCTGCTCTCACAGCCTTTGGCTGTATGCACATGGAAGGTCAGAAAGGTGCCAGAAAAACGCCAGGCTGCCAAATATAAATTACTGCTGATGGAAATAACAACGTTCTTTTCACTGTAGTGGATCTGACTGAACTGTACATTTTCACATTAAGGGCTTATGTAACAGTAATTGCCGTAGAAGGTCTGATTACTGTTAAAGCACACATTTCATGCTACATTGGTTTAAAAGGTCTTAATTTATATCATCTCACATTCAAGGTGTAGTTAGACACTTTAAACTAAAGCCGTGGAAGAGAACAGCACACGGTGACGGGGGAACTGACAAAATCAGTGGCCAACAAGGAAAGCCACTTACCGTCTAGAGGTGTCAGATGTGACAGAAGGGGCAGAGTGAGGGCACAGGCGCCAGGAAAGACACAGCAGAAGATGAAAAACAGTGGGGGGAAAAGCAGCGAGAGAAACAGAGAAGAAGACTAATGATCACAGGAAGAGAAAGTCACACAAAAGCTGACTTTGCAACACAGAAAGCTAAAGTATCCTGCCTCAGTCCTCAAGCCGCACAAATACTTTGCATCTGCTGTGATTAAAAATATGAAACTAAATGTTCAAGACTGTAATGTTTAATGTTCAAGTCGTGTGGCTTCCCTTGCTTCATGTATAGATTTTTATGATGTCATATTTTTTTCTATGGACTTGTTTGGCTGATTCGAGGACTGAGACTAAGAGTACAGCAAAGCATGACATCCACACTGATGATTTTGAAGCTGGAAAAAAAAAATTCTGACATTAAGCAAAAACACATGCAAATTAATGCTACAGCAGCTCAAATTTTAGCGAAAGTCAGAACAGCAACTAAATGAGTAATTGACAGTTGGGAGGAATTGGTGATATTTCGGACTTTCAAACTTTGAACAACAACACCCCCCCCAAAAAAATAAAATAATAATAGAAAATGTGAAATCAGCAGTCTGGGTTGTCAGAGTTTTTGACAGTCCAGGCTGCTTTGGTGGGTATTTTTCATAACTTTTTTTTCTGGCTTTTTATAGACAAAAACATATAAAAAAAATAGAAAATAGATTAATCATAATAACAGTATTTGAACGCTTGCATGCCCAGAGTAAATCACTTCCACTGTAGCAAAATATTAACTTTGATTAGTCCATTATTGTGATAACAGTTTCCCTGATTGGACTAAATCTGCTTCCTGTGTCACAGCATGCTGCTTTGCTGCTTTGCCGTTGTGATCCTACAGCTATGAGCAAGCACTGAATTTTTGTACCCATGTAGGAAGTGACCCATGGGTGCATGCGATGAGAAATGTAACTCTTACATTTATCTCTGTGCACAAAATGTCTGTAATGCTTCCAATCACAGTCACAAAGTCAAACACATTCCAGGGCTCTTTCAGGTAGTTCTAAAAGAAAGAGAAAGAAGAAAAGTGGATGTTATAGTTAACCTTTAAAGATTTTATACAGTGTCTTCGTCATAACTAACTGCTTTTAAAACGCTTTCCACCCTTTCAAGTGTACATTCAAATGAAAGACTGTAGAGCCTTCATTCAAAGGGCTTTACAAGTTGGCTCTTGTTCACATTCACAGTCATAAACTGAGAGTATTACAATATTTACACATGTCATGGAAAACCATAAAACATGAAACTAACTGGGTTGACCTGTCTGGTGAATGTGAATGCGTTTGTGTAGGTGGATGTGTGTGTGTTTGTTTGTGGTGTCATTTGTAAAGTAAATATGGGCACTCCATTCTGATCAGTGTATGCGTATGTTTGTGCTGCGTTATATTTGTGTATATTTATTGTACAAAATGAAAATACCCTGATGCTTAGCACTAATAAGGAGGTATCTGTCCATTGCACTCCATTCAGTTTTTAGATGTAACTGACGACTTACCACACTCTACTCTAAATATGGTCCAAAGGTATAAGATATTAAATTTAGCTTTAATATAATAATAAAAAATCGGGAGCTCAGGATTATCAAAAGATGTGAACAATTGTAATCCATAACTGAACTTTTAATAGATATGTCAAAGTTGACTATTATATAATTTTCCCTGCTCTAACCACAATAAACCAAGTTCTAATGCCAGTTTAAAAACCTGTTTAATTATAGATTACGTAAATTATTACTATTGAGCTATTCCTTTATTCTTATGTATTTAATTTAATCTTTTTAATAAACTGACCAGACTGGCAGCACTGTGATTTTCCCAAATTCATACTAAGACATCTAATCCAAGCAGACATTCTATGATCCATTTTCCAGCAACATTCCCCCTACACTGCCTCATTTGAACGAGTCTCCTGTGCACGAATATGTGGGCAAATTTTAATACAGATCTAGATATGAAAAAGATGCAGACGCAGATACAAAGTTGAGGCACACAAAAAGTATTCAAATGAGTACACTTCAAAGAATAAAGACTAGCCATCTCCCTGAGCACACAAATCAACTTTATATGTGCCTACATTACACACGTTCACACACATAAATGCTAAATGCACATCTTTTGCATAACTTCTGAGGCTCTTCAGACTGGTCAGTCATCCTGTTCCTGGGGGCAGAGGCTGCTGCCAGGTCCTGCAGCTGCTTTTTGAAGAGCTACAGTGGCAGCAGAGCATTTATAATGGCAGATGTGAGCGCAGTCATCTGGGCTTAACAGCTAAACAGGTGGAGGTAAGTGGTGTGTGAGAAAAGCTATTTAATAAATGGGCCTCGCAAATGGAATAGAGCCTAAGATGAAATGCTTCGCTGGAGGCCAGACGGCGCCACATTGAGAGATTTATTTCCTTTGTGCACTCTTCTGTTTATCTCCCTCTTTTGTTTTTTTTTGTTAGCTAACTCTTCCTCTTTCTGAAATGAATGCACTTTAAGAAGATCCATACAGTCTTCTTAAAGTGAGACTGTGTCACTGACTAAAAGATACCTTGAAATCAACTCAACCTTTAGAAGAACCAAATCACTTAATCCTTTAAGTGTAAACTGGAACATTTCAAAACCATCAACAGCTGCTGGCAGAGTACAGCACAGTATACAGACTTACAAAGACAACTCACCAGTGGATTGAAGGCAATAATTTTGAGGATGCACTCGAGTGTGAAGAGGCCCGTGAAGACGATGTTTAAGTATTTCAGCATGGACTCGTACACATCTGGAGCGCCATAGAACTGAGGGCAGAAGATGAAACACGAAACACTGAATATCTGCTCTTTAATATCTTTAATTATATTAACAATAAATGTGTGTAAAATTGACTCCCGTTATTTATTGCACACTTAATGCATGGATCAGACAGCCTCTGTACATGATATTGAAAACTACAGCTGTAAACGCAACACCAAAACACTGCAGATCCTTTTTATTCATGTTTATTCACTCCTGTTCTGTTCTGGACTGCTTCCACCCACCAGAGACATCTGCATCTGTCAGGTCTGGCTTATTAAATTTTAAACATCTTACATATCAGAAAAGGCTTGTATTGCAACTGCATGTGATTTCACTGACATTGAAATGGGATTGTATGTATCTGCAGAGTTCATGCAAGACTGCCATAAAGACGCCACAATCCTCTTTAGCCATGCATCATAGAGATAAAATAGGACTGCACATGATCAATTATTGCTGCTGCTTGGTTTTGAATATAGAACTCACTGGGAACAAAACGTTTCAGGACTCAACCCATAACAAGATTCTAACCATCTCCTCTATGAGGTCGTGCACCTCTCAAATGCCTTTTTAATCACCCTCTTATGGTCCTGTTCTGTTTATATTTGCTCTATGATATCACCATATAATCAGGATCTTGGGTGGGTGGGGG